CAAGGAACAGACACCTGACCTAACCTCAGCCAATGCAACCCTCTCATCCAGCCCTTTGAATATGGAATGTGTGAAGCAAGACAAAGAAGGGAGCGAGGGTGGGAGGGACAAAGGGAAAGGGAGAGGGAGAGAGAAACGGAGGGAGGAGGGAGACAGGGAAAAAGGAAAGAAAAAAGAAAGGATTGAAGAAGGGAAGGAAGGAAGGAAAGAAGGAAGGAAGGAAGGAAAGAAGGAAGGAAGGAAGAAGACAAAAAAAGGGGGAGAGAAAAGAAGAGAGGAGACAGGTGGGGAGGGCATGGGAGGGGAGAGGAGAGGACTCAAATTGTCCAGCCTTGCTCCTTAGCTGTTCTTCAATTCTGTGGGCTCCCCACATCTTTTCCAGTTAATTTCTTATTTTTCTCAATGTAGATGAGTCAGTTTTGCAACCAAAGAACCTTGACCGATGCCTACCAGAATGACATTTTCAGACCACCCAGAAACTCAGCTGTTGGCTTTGGTTTCAACCTCATCTCCTGCTAAATCTTGACCAAAATCCCAAACAGCACTCCTTCTCTGATCCCCAGACATTCTATAGAGACTTTGAGAAATACTGGAGTGGTCAAAAGACTGGTAAGAACCAAGAAAATAAAAAGTCCTAGGATGAGAATATGTCAAAGAGCCCCCCATTGAGAATCAGGAGCTGTGATTTCTAGTTTGTGCTCTTCCTCCACCTGGGGACACAGAGCACATCTCACAGCCTTTCTGCCCCTCAGTTTCCACACTTGTAAATGACTGAGCTGACTCTATCACATTTGTTTTTATAAGATACCAACACTTCTTAACTTTGTTAGGTCTCCACATGCCCACTGAGTTCCTACCCTCAAACAGCGAACAAGCCATAAATATCAGCCTCCTGATATTCTCCCTCCTTGAGCCCTGCTCCTCCGCCTACCTTGTCCTTTATAATTTACATAAGATTGCCTGGAAGCCCCATCTCACACTTGGAGAGAAATTCCCCTCCCTTCCAAACTCCCCCCACCCCCCGGGGTCTCCTGGGGTAAGTCAACACTTCCAGGGTGGACTACAGAATTTGCAAATTCTTCTCTGCATTTCACCTGTTGTGGTTTCTTGACCCATGCCATCCTGGCTGGCACTACTCTTATCCCTTCCACCTGCAAAGCCCCAACCACCCAAGGTGACGCATGTAGCAGCCCTTACTGGAGGTTTGGGCGACAGAGGCAGCTACAGTGCAGCTCAGTGAGGCAAACGATGCCAAGCTGAACATCAATCCTCCTGCCCTTGGCCATTTTCTTCCTGGGAGCATCGTGGCAGTGTCCCTTCCTTGGGTGCCAGCATCCTGAGCCCCCTGTCAAGTTGCTTATCCCCTGTCAGTCCTCCCTTTACCTCTCCCCTCTCCATTCACTCTTTTTCTCCCAAACCCCAAATGTCCTGTCCAGGTGTCTTCTTCCCACCACCTAAAGGGCCTGTTACTTGTTTGGCCAACAAAGGCCATTCTGAAAGGAATTTTGTCCAACAGCACTTAAACCAACAGTTAACCTTCCTCTTTCTGCTGCATAAAAATGCATCTCTAAAGATACGGATAACACCTGTTCTTTGGCGGAAGGCATAAGGCCTCAAGCATTCAGGAGGTATTTCTCAGAAAGCATTTGGCTGGGACAAAAAGACTTGCTATTTTCTTGGTATCCCTTAATGGAAACAGTGTGATCTCTGATCTACCAAGCAAAAAGAAAGAGGCTTTGTCACTTACTAGCTACGTGACCTTAGGAAAAGGACCCATCTAAACCTACATTGTTCTTCTGTAAAATAAGGACAATAATAATACTTATTCCATAGGATTGTGGTGAGGATAAAATAGAATCATACATAAAAAGCACTGTGCACAGTGACTGGCCCATAACAAATGATCTACAAAGGGTAAATGATGGTATTATGATTATTACCATCATTACTGCTACTTACGGCACTTAAAAGTGAAATCAAAATGGTGATAGCAAGTTATAAAGAGCACAGCACATCAAGAAGTCACTTGGGAAGTGCGGAAATATAAGTGAAAAACTATGTGCAACAAAGACTTAACCTAAATAAAGGGCACTTGGAACTCACGTCCTGGGAAGGATACAGGTCTCACTAGCAAGTAGGGCTGGTTAAATAACAGGGCTAAAAACTATAAATGTGAATACCATTATTTCAGAAAGAAAATGTGTTTCATTTATATTTTTCTTTGAAAAAGGAATCACATAATACCCTCCTTCATCTAAAGATACTGAGCACCAAGATGAGAACATCAAATATCTTAATTCCTCCCAGGAGCTTGTTCAGCCCTAGAGAGAATAAGAGTTTGCCAGAGTAACTGGGACATCTGAAAATGGAAATGGAATATTTAGACCTCCATGTTGTTTCTTGAAAATTTCCAGTCCCTGGAAAGGTTAAAAGAGAATCACATTGGAGGTGAGCACCACACATCAAAAACAGATACACAGCCTCAGCCTCCTTTACAGTAATACATTTTCCTACTGGGCTCTTTAAAAATTGCATCATTTCTGTTGGAACTGTAGTTGAGTTGTTACTTTTCTTGGGGGGGGGGGGCTTCATTATTGTTTCTCTGTTTCAAACACTAACATGGAAGGATCACATTCGAGGCCTTCCATGGGCATGATTTGATATATTCCTTTTGCCCATATTAATTTGCCTTCTTTTTCAGCTTTTGTGTGCCACACATATGAAGTTCAAGACATCGTGGAATGTAGCATACTACTCTAAAGCCTCTTGGACAGTGTCTGCCCCTCAATCCCTTTTGCTCTGTCCTCTTGGGCTACGTCTTTTATTTCGCACTCACTTACTAAAGACCTGTGAGCAAGACACTGCTTCGGTGCTGGGGAGATAAACACACACACAAATAGGTTCCGGTCCCTTCCCTCCTGAAGAACCTAGACTAGGAGAGGAAGTAGGCTATGAACCAAGAGTCTCGATCTGCAGTGACTCCCACTGATAGATCTGTGCACAAGGCAGTAAGGGGAAGGGGGGACAGAAAGACACTTCTGCATCTTAGAGCAAGGCCAATACATAAAACCTTCGGAAAGATCCAGGATCTTCAATAATGAGTAGGAATTCACAAAGCAGAGAAGAAATGGGAGGCAGGAGGCGGAGAGGGTAGAGAACCTGCTACCCAGAGGAAAATGGGACGTATCACACCTATAATAAAAATAAACTTAGCCAACTAAGCACAATGAGGAGGCACACCATTTGGCTTAATACATCTTGCACCTTTACTCTTTGAGTTTATTGTGACTTGACCTTCTGCTCTTCCACACATAAGCTTTCCCTCTCTATTACACACAAAGCAAATACAGAGTCCCACGGTAGTTCCAGGGGTAAGGGAACATTGTCATTAGCGGAACTCGCCAGTATCCACATGCTAAGGACAAGGAGGGCATGCTTGCCATCCTCATGGAAGAGGTCTAACCTGTTCTTAATGGGGATTCCCACAATAACACAAGCTGTCTTGCGCCTGACCAATCCCGAGAACACTCAGTCTCAAGTGTTCTCAAGCCCAGCTGATGACTCACAGGGACTTGTCAATCACTTGCTGCAATTACTAAGTATCATTTGTCATGTGTGCATGCACCTCCTTAGAATTCCATCATGCAAAGTGCATTTGTCTCGCTAGGATGTCTTTGCTTTAATTATAGTTACACACGATAACTCCTACCCTTGCACCGATTTCCCAGGAACTTGCAGGCCACCATTATTTGCTGTCTCCTCTAGCTGGGCGCTTCAGTCCCTGCACCCAGATCCAGGAGTGCCTCCAGGGCATACGACCTGTGCAGTTGGCCAGCCCCACGCACAGAAGGACCCCGTGCTTGGCTTAATTCTTATGCTATTGCTGAACTGAAATGCTTAAAAGCTTTTTAACAAGGGGTTCCACACTTTCATTTTGCACTGAGCTCCGCAAATTATGTAGCTGGTCCTATCTAGGGGGCTAACTGCTTGAAAGTGAGTTTCTGTCAAGCCCTTGCCTAGACACCCAAGATGGGAGCCATTTTGATCATAGCTATCATTTTCACCCTCATTTTCATGGCAGGGTGACTATCACAAACTTGCAAGCTCAGGCAGCCCCAAAACACCTTTTGACATCTGATTACAAATAACCAGTTCAACCAAAAGTGAAGCTTTGGCCTTGGCCATACTTGATCATTCTTTATCATCCTGCCAAGTCTGCGGATAGGCTCCTACTCCTTCAAGGCTCCTCGAAGTTTACAAACAATACCACCTCCAAACACTGGTTCATAAAGTTTCCCATTCTATAAACTTAATGTGTTATTCAGGATTTAACAGTTTCCTTAGCATAATTTGATTAAGGGTATGCGGAATTGCATCAGTTGTAATAAAAGTCAAGCCCTGTGATTTCAACTATTAAACACCTGTACGAGAGCCTGTACCCAAACAGCTCAGCAGCTGTGAACTTGAACCACAAAAGTATCAGCTGGGATGCCCAGAAAAGTGGGAACGGATATGAGCAAATTATGTTCTTCCTGTGACAGATTCGAAAGGGCCCCCCTCAAGGTGAGTGACAATGGGGTCTGTAAACTGCGTGTTTGCCTCAAGCCATCCCCTCACGCAGCTCAGGCCATTCCTCACATTGCGATTGTCATTTACTACCTGTCCACACTGGATCCTGACACCGAACTGTCATAGGTTGTGATATAGAATCATTGGCCACTCTCTCTCCCAAGGCCTGAAATCAAAAGCATCACTCCCCACATACCTCTATGCAGGCATTAAAACATCCTCCTCCCCTCCCCCCCAACCTGAAGACAATTCAGGAACTCAACTGCATGTGTGGGTGCGCGGGGGGGGGGGGGGGGGTCATGTGGAGGGAGGGAAGACAGTTTGGGGGAGGATGGTAAAGTGATACCTCGGCCTTATTCACAACTACAGATAAGACATGCTTTTTATTTCCCTCTTGTTCTTTCTGAAGTCATCTCTAGAGACGGGGTTTCAAACATGATCTTTATTTCATTGCTGAGACCCAGGGAATATTAATTAACAGCCTCACTCAGATTCACATTAATTTCAAACCGACAGCATAATCCAGCCGCAACTACACCGTCTGCAACAAGAAATCCTGGACGGGACTGGCCACAGCCAGGCAGGGACGCATGGGAACAGGCAAGCATTGTCTCATTCAGCATCCACAAGAGGCCAAACTTCCTGAAGGTAACTATTCCTCTGCCTGGTTAAACTGCACATTCAAAGCCCTCAAAATAATAAACAAATATAACCCCAGAGCCCTCCCTTAGGTACCAAGGCAGCATTTGTTCTGCAGGGATGTTTTGGTCCCTGCCTTTATCTTGTTAATGCAATTGGGAAAACAAATAATAAACGTCAAACCCTTCATTTGGAAATTCTAACTTCTCTACCTTCAGAAATTCTGAATTTTCGTTTCTAATTCCTCCGTGGGAAATATGAGCCTTTACCCGGTCCCCCTGGAAATCTTGAAGATGTTCCTGTTGCCCACTCCCCACATCTAAATAGAGCCCAAGGCCCCCTTCCTCCAGCAAACTTTGGTGAATAGCCTGGCAATTTTTCTAAACAGGGAACACATTCTTCCACTCTTCTTCCCTTCTGAGCGCTTTGAACTTTTGATAGTTCGATATTTCATTCACTTACTTACCAAGTGTTTATCAAGTACTCACTATGCGGTGGACACGGAAGGGTCCGGGATTTGCCCCAGTCCCTGCCTGCAAGGTGCCCACGAGTCAGCCTGAATGAGGCCTTTGAGCGCCTCTGAGCTCCCTGAAATTCAAGCCCCCAGCCGTGCCACTGCCTTGTTCCAAACTCATATTTGTTGACTAAATGCACCGGGTAGACTTCGTTTTACAAATAGAGCTTTCTAATTAACAAAGGCATTCCAAAGTCACAGGGGTCAGTCAGGCGTGCTATCAGCTGAGCAGAATTTGAAAATAAAAATCACTCTGATAACCTGCTCTGAAGAATATTTCCTCCAGGCTGATGGACATATTGCCAAGTTGGGAAACGTGAAAGGATCGCCTTCACATCTGCTGCCGCAGAAATGGTCACGGGCACGGTTGCAATTTGCTGTGGCCCAGGTCTGCTCGCACCAGGGGCTGACAGAAGCTTATTAACGCCAAAAAATGCTTCGCTCTCTCTCAAACCCGTGGAGGCTGAATGTCACTGATACGACTATCTCGGCCGTTAGTGGGGGCTACACCTGTCTTGCCTTCCTAGAAGGCAGCTAGGTACAAAGCTGCAGGATTCACAATTCGCCTTTTCCAATTCCAGCGTGGCAGAGTGGAGAGAAAGCATCTGCCACAAACAAGGGTATTGGGCAGAAACCCCGTTCGTTCAAACACCGCAAGGGGACAAATGTTGGCGTTTATGCTTAAAATTTCCTCTAAGCAGAGGCCACGAATGCTCTGCCGGCTGCAGAGGCTCCACGCAACACCCGGGATTTTTTTAAAAACAAGATCCAAACACATCGCAATTCTACTTTAACACAAAGTCCTTAGATATACTAAGAGAAGAATGAATTCCACTGTTTTAAAAAACGCTTCGCTCAAAAACGAAGCATGAATTTTACTGTGATTAAGTGAGAAGAGCTGATTCTAACGCCACATGAAATTTGTTTTTAAATGGTTATTTTATTCAGAATGGTTGCCTTTTAATGACGCTGTCTTGATTTCCTGTTAAACCTGTTTCATCGATAGTCATCCAACATTAATATTTATTTTGTTCATTGAATTTTAAAGTATTCTTAAATTAAAGCTATTGCAAATATTCTACAGCTGCCAATGATAATTCCGCAGAGGCGCTACCATGAAAATATCATAGAAAACATGATCAATGTGTTATAGCTGTCATCTGGCTTAATAAACACAACACTCTAAACTATTTTAGGAAATTAAGAACTAGAGCCATCCTAGAATATGTTATAAAATCCACTGCTAAATACAACTCTTTTTTTTTAACTTCTGTGCTTCTTTATCTTGAATTCTTAACAGTGTAATTAGATTTCACATTGTAATGAAAATTATACTTAAGATTCTTACATTCTTATACTTAAGAATCACCTTGGGTTAAAATCTTTCCCATGTACATATTATTTTTCATCATATCTTCCTTCAAATCCCCCGCACTTAACCGACACGGGTTGACCTGCAGAGATTTCACAATAAATTATAGTAAAATAAAGTTATGATGATCTCGAACTTGTACCGTCTGTAATGAAATATATAACTACACTGGCTCTTGTACCTATTTAGGTTTTAAAACTTCGAACTGTAACATGACATTCTACAGAATGCTTCAGTAGAAATGGGCTCAGGACGGCAGCACACCATTACCATTGCCAGAAACCTGGCATGGTTTTCTCCCTGGAAAATACCAAATCTCAAAATCCAACACATTTACTCATAATTCATTTTCATTTCCTCTTTCCCAGAATTCATTTTCATATCTAAAAGAAGCTCTTGGCTGAAGCCTTCTACTGTCTGCAACATGTTATAGCTTCTTTGCAATTTCACTTTTAGGAAACACAGTAAGGAAAAGTAATGCACCCTCATGGGCATCCCACGTAAGCCATGATAAATTCATATTCTTGTTTTGCACTGATTTCAATGGGAAGCAAGAAAGAAAAGGAAAAGCCTGAGTGCCCTTATAGCTCTCAGGTGAAACCTCCCTTTTCAAATGCCTCCATGTACTGGGTCACAGGCAGGAAAACACTCCAGACATACAGACTTGTCATTTTTCTAACCAAAGAAGTTGGTACCATCGTCAACAACACATTCACGCTGATTTTTGAGGTCTGTTTTAATCATCAGACATTTTTTTTTTACTTACATACTTTTCTTCCCAAAAAATCCTTTTTCTGAACTAACCTCAGAACCAAAACACCTCTCCGCTTCAGGGTTCCCCAGTCTTAACTGAACAGTAATCAAAACCCAATGCTTCAAACCCCCAAGGGAGTTGCTTCTTCCTTTCTGTGCTCAAAGTGGAACAGGAAAGGAGTGCGAGCTTTTCCCTCCACTGCCTTGCTTGGTGTTTGCCTTTAGAATTCGAAGGTTTGTCCCCATTCCTGCGCACCTGACAGGCTGTGATTTATATGTGAGAAAACAACTCCAAGGTTCTTATTAAGGAGTCAGAAGCTGCTCCCACCCACCTTAGCGGTTTTCTAGGAAACAGACTGGGAAAGGGGGGTGGGGGGAGGGGAAGCAAATTCTGTCTAAAGCTACCCAGGACAAGTAGCACAGGTAAATCCAAAGTAATGGAGGCAAATATTAAAAAGAATATTATTTATCATCTTTTTTATTAATACTCACGGAGAACCTTTGCTTTTTACACAAGTCTACTTTTAGAAGAGTGCCTCCTTGGTTATCGTGCCCAGTGGAGCTCTGTGCTCCTGGCCAACTTCCAACTTCCCCTTTCTCCACCCCACTCCTCACGACCAAATTACTCTTGTACATGTTCACAGATACCACGAAAATTTTGTAAACAAGATTTAGGTTACTGGATCTTGATTTAATCAACATCCCACTTCAAAACGGAAGGCAGGTAGGAGAGAGGGTAGGAAAGGGGAGAAAAACGAAGGGAGAAAAGGCAGGGGAGAGGAGAGGAGGGGAGCTGGTCAGAACTTTCAAGTCTTGCCTTTGCTGAGATGTGTGCGTATTGTGGCTGTTCCTTGAAATTCAATGACTCAAAACATTGACAGCAAGTGCCTGTGTGGTTATTTATACTATATATCTATAATAGAATATGTGGGCTTCCTCAGTTTGGGTCTGGGCTGTTTTTGTTGCAATACACCACAATCCTCCTGTGGGTGTCTCCACAGGGAGTCGGGTCTCCCAGGAAACCCTCTCAGAGCCGGGGCTTCCGGAGCAGGGTCTTGCTAAGGTCTTTGACCTCCTCGGGACTATTGACCCGCTCATAGCCCAGCACCGCCATGGGCTGGTAGCAAAACTCCTCCACCTGTTTGATCTGCTGGAAGGTGAGGGCCGTCCGCCAGGCGTTGGCGGCCTGTGTGGCGTTGCGCGCGGACACCACGAAGGGCTTAGAGGAGGAGCCTGAGCCACTGGTCATGTTGAGGGCAAACTGTTCCATCTCGGGGCTCACCAGCAGCCCCACAAAGTCGTACACCCTCCGTAGGGTCTTGACGGGGTCTCCCACTAGGTCCTCGTACCGCACTACCAGGTAGTGGCCTTGCAGCCAGTCAGGGGGCTGCAGGGCTGTCTGCAGTGTCTTGGCCATACTGTTGCAGATGACCTCCATAGCGCCAAGAGCGTGGTAGTCCGCCGGGCCGCCCACACCCTCCTTCTTGACGCCCAGCTTGTGGCCAGCGGCCTCCAGGAAGGGCATGCGGTGGGCGCGCGGGTCCCGGCTGCGCACCACCTGAAGGCTCTCACGGATGAGACCGTGACGCGAGCGGATGCGTGAGCTGGCCACGGCACGCGGATCGCGCACTAGGTGGATGACCTTGAGGTCCAGGGCAGGGTCGCGCAGCAGCGGCGCCAACACGGCCACGTCGAAGACACGCACGCCCTTGATGACCAGCGTGCGGTACTTGCGGCACTCCTCCTCAAAGCGCGCCAGGCGCTGCGGCGGGCACTTCTTGCACACGCGATCGTCCACCAGCCCCACGACCTCCTTGCGGTAGGCGGGGCAGAGTGGCGAGGAGCACACCACCTTGTTGGTGGCTGCACCGAAAATGCCCAGCGTGGTGAGGTTGCGCCCCCCGCTGCCCGCGGGGCTGTACAGCTGGAAGACCGAGAGGTCACAGCGATAGAGAGCGCTCAGCATGTCCCGCGCCGCCCCTTGCAGGGAAACAGCGTCCCCTGGGTACAGTTTTTGCCACACGTGCCACACTGGCTCGTAGAGAAAGAACACCTCCGGGTTCTGGTTGAAGAGCTCACCGAAGAAAGATGAGCCCGAGCGCCACGTGGTGAACACATACACCAACTGCCTCTTCTCTCCGCCACGCCCGGTGCCCCGAGTGCCATTACGGGGAGGGGCCACCGCCCCCGCTGCCCCTGCTGCTGCGGCAGGGGCCGCCCCGACGGCGGCGGCGGCGGCGGCGGCGGCGGGAGGGCGGTACGGAGTACGGGGGTCCAAGCGGGTGTGTGCGCGGGGCGGCACTGCCGGAGGCGGCCCCGGGCGCCCCCAGCCGCCCCCAGCCGCCCCCGCCACGGCACCCAGCGGCCCGTCGGGGCTGCACTGCTGCAGCGGCTCCTTGTGCCACTTGTAGTCCAGGAGGTTGAGCATGGTGAGCACCAGCAGCAGCGCATAGCCCGCGCACAGCACCAGCGCCTTCCTGCGGAACACCTTCATTCCGAGCGGGGACGCGGGCCAGCGACGGCCCGGGCGCCGGGGCCACGGCGGGAGCAGGGCGCGCGGCACGGCGGCGGGCGCGACCGGGAGCAACCGGGGGGGCGCGCCCGGGGGCAGGGCTCGCGGCGGGCTGCGGCTCATCACAGGCACAGCCGGGGCCCGCGGCGCGGCGGAGGCGGCCCTGCAGCCCAGGAGGGGGACGCAGCGGGCCGACTTCGGGCGCGGGGACTGGGGCCGCGGCTCCGAGGCGGGCGCGGCAGCAGCGGCGGCTGGTCCCCGACGCCCAAGGCTGGCTCTCCCATGGCAGCGGCTCCGAGAAAGACCTGCGAGGGGAAGCGGAGTAAGCCGATGCGCCCCAATCCTCCTCCCCATCCGCCTCTTCCACCTAAGTAACGCCCACCCTCGGGTCAGCCGGGCTCCCCCGCTCACCTGGAGCCGCGGGCGCACCCCGGAGCCGCCCGGGATCACGGCCGGGTGGTCTATCCTGCTGTCACTCGTTCCTCGATTTCTCGCTCACAGTCCTTCCTGGGAGTCCCCGCGCCTAAGAGGCGGCCGCGGGACTCGGCAGCCCAAGCCCTAGGCAGTTTCCGGGCAGCGGGCGCCCTGCGGCTTTGGAAGGGAAACTTTCACCGGGCCTGGAACCCTGCTCCGCGCTCCGTTGAGCCCAGCGTGCCCAGCTCCAGCGGCGTCTCCACCGCCCTCTCGAGACCGCAGCTTCCTTCCTCGCTCCGGGGGGCGAAGCCGGCTGGGGGAGGGGGCTTATACAGGACCCAGCTCCCGGCAAAGCGGCTCCGCCTTTCTCGCTCTCGGCCTCCGCGCCCGGAATCTTCCCATCTCTCTGGCGGCGGTGGATGGGGCGCAGCGCGACCCTGCAGCGACAGCAGCTGCTTCTTCCATCACTCGGAGGATGCCCGGGCCGGCATAGCCGGCAGCGCCCGCCGCTCCGCAGCCTCCGACTGGCCCGGGAGGAATCCTACACACACAACAATCGGCCAAGGAGCCCGAGTCTGCAGCGCTCCCTTGCCGCCGCCCCCCTCCCCCGCCCCCGGCACCAGCCGCTTCTGGCCAACGAGGTATCGGGGCAGAGGAAGCCCCCGCCGCTGCCGCCGCCGCGCGAAAGCGGCGCCCGAGAGGATGCTGCTACCCGACTCCCCCTACGCGGAGCGGCTGCAACGCGCTCGGGCCAGCCTCTGCGCGGCTCCTGCCAGCCTGCGCCGGGTTGGTGCGCGCCGCCGTCTGTCGCTGCGGCTCCTCCCCTTCGCCGCGCTGCCCTCCTCCTCCGCCCGACCCGTGCCCGCCCCCCTCGCAGAGTCGGGCTCCAGCCGCCGCCGCCTCGGGGGCTGGAGATGCGGGGCTCAATTCACCGCGACGCCGCTCGGGCTACCATCCACACGACCGAGGCCGTAGCAATGCGTGCGCAAAGCGCCTGGACGCGGACGCGGGGTTCGGAGAGATCGGGCGCCCGGGGCTCTGAGAAACTTGGGAGTCTCCTACGTTTTTGCTCTCGGAAAGAGTTGGTGATAAAGTTTGGGCAGAAATCCCCCAGCGGCCGCCCACTCCTCTCTTCCCTTCGGCGTGGACACCGCCCGCCCCTCCGAGAACCGAGGACGCACCCGCATCCGGGTGCGCTCGGAGGATGCCGAGCGCCGCTTGCAGGCTTTCTACTCCCGGCTCACGCGTTCCAGCTGGTCTGAAGCTTCTCCCTCACCGAGGAAGTAATAAATCTTTCTGACCCCGGGGTCAAAGAAAACTCATCAGTTTTAGGGAGGAGTGTGCAGGCGGGGCGCCTCGCCCCCCCCCCCCGTTTACTCCACCTACGGGCGGGGGGCGGATAGGGCAGCTTGGGTTTCACTACGCCCCCCGCAGATGCTCTCCCGGTCCCCGCTCGTAGTGACGCGTCCGCTGTGAGCGAGTGCTCGGGAACTGGGGTCGTGGGGGGTCGGGGAGTGACTCTGTGTTGTTCTGCTATACAATAAAATACTTGTCTCTCTTCTTGCTTTTTTACAAATGAGTTTAAATCATTTGGCTAAAGGAAACACGGTCGTTGGAAGTAAAAAAGAACTCATTTTGAGTTGGTTTAAGTTAAAGTTCTTTTTAAAAAGATGAAAAATCGCTCGCTCGCTCGCCCTTCCTCTCTCGCTCTCAAGAGAACCAAAGGCGACTAATACCCTCAACTGCATCCGTAAAATGGGGCACTTATAATAGCATTCAGTAATTCAACGGTGACTGGGTGTTAGATGCCCAGATGATTTAACCCTCTGGAGGCCTTGCCTAAGTTGCGGCGAATCACTAGGGGTCTTGAAGCTCGCGGGCTGCGGATAAACAGAGCGCTCATCTCCTGGGGGCGTATCTGTTGCCTCCTACCCCATGAAGTTTTTGGAAGTTTGACAAAGTTACTACAAAAGTATATTTGTATTATTTTGGGTGCCTTTTCTTAGCCAGAGGATCCTAAATTTAAAATGTTGCTGTTTGAGCTATTATTCCTCACTGAGTTTTATAGAATTTTATAAATGCAAGGGCTTTTAGAAAGTGACTTAACTCGCGGGTTTTCGGGATAGAAAAATATTCAAAGAACTTGACTTAACCCCGTTTTCAAGAAAAGAAATCCATAACGCCCGGAGTCAGTTCAGATAATTATTCCCCCTGTGGTTCTGATAAAGTATAAGGATGAGGTATATCTAGGACAGGTTTTATGCAAATGGGTGGAGGCAGAGTAGAGTTTAGGTGGGGCTTTCTCAAGTAGCAAGCGCATCACCTCTCTGAGCAGGTCAGGACAGACGTCTTCAATCCCTGTTTACAGAGGAAGGTGGTAGAATTTAATTGAGTGACTTACATCTCTCCATTTCTGGACCCACCCACCTCCCTTCCCCTGCTGTCTCAAAAGTCCCTGTCCCTTCTTCCCTCTTCTCTTTCCCTGCCCCAAACAAAAAATAAGTTATACTGGCTCATTAAAAGAGTGATGGAAGAGAAGGAGTTGTGGAAGAGAGAAAAATCTCAATCTTAATATTCAGCATGATTCCAAGGAAAATAATTTCTAATACTTTTAATTTAGTCTCTGGCTTTGTGGTTACTCAGAAAGCACCATGAATTGCAGTTACTTGATGTAAGACCCTTTCTTAAACAATTATTTGCATAGAAACAATTTTGTTGCAATTTCCTAACACTTTACTAGAGTTGGCAAAATAGTAAATCCATTTGCCATACGCCCCCACAGTGAGTGCTCAGCTGTGAGTGCTCAGCTGGCATAAATTTACAGCTTCCAGCCTCTCCACCCTCTCCTTGCTTGCAAATATTTTACCATTTTGCATGGTGTCATGATTAATTCCCAACTTTGTTACAACTAATGACATCCAAAGACTTGATAATGTCTTCCTTCCCACATCTGTTCAGAAATTCTTTTCATTTTAATCCATTTATCCTTTTTGCATAGTACTGACCCAGACATATAATAAGTCACATAATAATTTCACTGGCGGGGGAGCCAGTCATGCCACTAGGCTGTCCTTACTTAATTCAGCTGGTTGTTTAGTTCGTTGCAATTCAGGGTCTCTTCCAGGAATGCTCCTTCAGTCTCTTCTTTGGTGCCTGTGATGTGGAAAGGAACTGCCATTGGAAACTTGCTGTGACCTTTGCCTAATCCTGGACAAATAAGGGCCTAACATCCAGGGGTGCTGTGGGCCCAGTACCCAGCCTGTGGAATAGGGCAGAGAAATCTTCCAAGACCTTCCTCCATAATCAGGATTGGGAAAAAATGTAAGGCAGCGTTATCTGGACAGTTTCCAGCCAAGCCTGTCAGCGTCACTGGGGGCCTGCAAGATTCATCTTTGGGAAATATCTGCCCCTGGCAAGATAGATTGACTCACTCAGATTTTCAACAAATATGCATTTTCAATGGAACTTAAGCACACAGAATTGGATTAATCATAATCCTTGATTGAAAACATACTGTCATTAGCCCAAGGGTGGCCCTTTTCTATTTTATATGACTTTAAATAACATAATGAATACTCATGAGCCCTTTACAGAGCCCAAAACCTCCAGAGATAACCACTCTACTTAATTTAGTTTAAAAACTTCAATGAAATGTCTAAGTTCAAAAAAAAAAACTTGCCTTAAATTGTCAAAAAAAGAAATAGCCTGAATAGTCTTATGATTATTAAGGAAATGAAGCAGTCATTTAAAATCTTTCCATAAGAAAAACAACAGGCCCAGAGGGCTTTATCAGATTTTCTACCGGACTTTCAAGAGCTAAATAATTTCTATCCTACTCAAACTCTTCCAGAGAACAGAAAAAGAGTGAATAATTCCCTCCAACTCATTCTAAGGGGAAAATAACTAGAAGGGGTTTTCAGAGGAGGCAATAGGTCCTTTTCATTGATTAGTATACACATCAAACTCCTAAATAAAATACTAGCAGAGCAAATCTAAGTGAGTGTGGGGAAAAAAGACAAGACTGGCAAACAAAGCCTTGGAATTTCTTCCTGCAGTTTTTCCTTCCCTACCTTAGGGACAAGCTAACTGGACAAGGAGATGTTTTCCTGCCACAGCAAGCGACACCACCTCCTCGAGTCCACCAGCCATTTCTCTGCTACCTGTATGGGGCATCCTCCTGGGTTCTGCCTGACTCCCATCCAATCTCCCTTCCTTTGGGAACAGTGTCTGAATCACCCCACCCCATTGAGTGTGGCTTTGATGAGAACTTCGGCCAAAGTACTCCTCTTCACCCCCCCCCACCCAAACTCAGCAAGTTATATGTTCTGTCCATGAAAGTTTCACTCATTCATTCATTCTTTTCTTTTTAAAGATTTCATTTATTTATGAGAGAGAGAGAGAGCGAGAGCATGAGCAGGGGGGAGGGAGAAACAGACTCCCCACTGAGCAGGAAGCCTGACGTGGGGCTTGATCCCAGGACCCCAGGACTATGACCTGAGCCGAAGGCAGACGCTTAACAGACTGAGCCACCCAGGCGCCCCCATTCATTCATTCTTTATGTATTGAACTCCTACTGTGTGCCAGACAATCCAAGTCTTCATCAGGGAGACTGAAAAATAGAAAACAGTTGCAGCCGCCTCATCCCAACAGTGAAGCCTAGAGAGATGCTCCATTACCCTTTCAGGGGGCCCTTTCTTTAAGCCTATGAA